AAAGGTACTATTGTCTATTAAAATTAGTGAGCTATAATCACAAGATATTTACGTTATACTTATACATATTTTAAGTGTAGGTATATTACAAGTTTTGTGGTATGCTAACGAACAAGTATAATATATACCTACGATTCTAAAAAAAAAAAAATACTTATTATTCTTAATATATTTTTTAACAATGCATACCTAACAATTATGATGTAAATAACGTTTAATAATGATACATAATATCTATAGGTACGCAATATAGATATGCAATACATTATTCTAYACCTCCATGAGATAGTTAGGTACATATGRAATTGTCTGATTATGTTAAAGTGTAATGTTTATTTTTAATCTCAAGGGCATACCGTGTGGCATGTGTGTGATATGAAGTCGGAAAATCTAACAGCTTGTGCACTGACTGATAAAGTGATAAATTCCTTAAATAAAGGCTATGCAACGACGAGACAAAATATTATAGAGCATAAATTTGCTGTTCTTTGATCAAATTAATATCGTACAAAATGTGACATTCATATGCTAGTATAAGGTAAAATTCAACAGAAGGAATGTAAGTTTAATGATTATTAAGATAATTTGTTACAAATTTGTTTTTGAAAATATGGTGTAGACATTTAAAACTGTAAGATATTTAACGCAAACATAAACAAAGTCTTATAATAAACAAACTGATTTTTATAAATTTTGATTGTCTTTCTTATCAGTTGTTATTTTAAAACCTGGTATATGTATCCGTTGGATTTTTTGTACTAGATTTCACAATTAGTTTTYTGCRCGAAAAAGTAAATTGTTTTCTAAAAGTTTTAAAAAATTAGWCATCAAATCTTTTATCGTTAAATGTAACTAGAAATTTTAGTACTTTGTTTGATAATAATTATTAATAACTTCATAGTTTTAAAATAATAATAAAACACAAGGAAAATTAATTTAAATTTAAATTTTAAATTTTATAGTTCAGAAAAATTGAATGTTATGTTTGACATTTATGATAAGCCTCACGCCAACTTAATATTTTACCATTACTCTATTATAAACAGCGCCTTGCATCAGAATTAATTGGGACCCGTAACGATTCTAAAAACCCATAAAACTCTTGAAAAGTCCAACACTGAACCCATATAAACCAAATAGTTTTTTGTGAAAATAGCTTAATTTTCAACAAGAATAATTTTAAAATCAATACATATTAGTTACCTATATTAAATATGTATTKACGTTTTTTTACCATCGCATTATAATTTTAAACGGCATGATCTATTTGTCAAATTGAGTTGAAATATTATGAAAAGAAATATCCAACAATCTACGAAGTAACAAATAGGTACATTTAGTTTTTTCTGGAATTAACTTAACATAACTTTAACCATCATTAACATACAGACAATATGGTGGTTTGGATATAGTGTTTGGATATTCAAATACATCCAGCACTAGACTCTGAATACATGATAGGGGTACAAAGCCCTAATTGTAAACTTGTATTCAATATAATAGTTATCAACATTCAAATGTAAAGATTTGATTTTGATGTAAATTTTAAATACCTAACCATGTGTTATAATATTGCGTATAACTGGCYTATACCAATGTTAGTAATGTGACATGTGATTATAAAGTTTCCTAGAAATATTTTCTAATTCAAAGGACTTCATATTTTTTTGTTTTGTAAAACTACATAATCATAAAAAACATATCATGTTAATACATTCAAAGCATACTACCTACTCAGAAAAAACATGAATTACAAATAAACACTAAAGAGAAACTTAATGTATAGTAATTTAACATTATAACATTTTAATGTCACTTTTGTTTAGCAGTTGCAGTATGTATACCTAGATAATATGTACATTATTATTATTATTACAGATATTTACATTGTTTATATATGTGTCAACCTTAGATAATAAGATTCAAATATTTGCCTTATTATATTTGCATATAAGCGTCTTCATGCGTTATGGTTAAATGTTTATTTTTTTTTATATTTGGTAACGAAAAAAACATAATTGCCTTTAATTATGAATTAAAAAATAATTATAAAAACATGTTTATTGTTTATATAGGAAAAAATGATATTCATGAAATGTTTATAATCTTTGTAATTATGAGGAACAATAGTTTTTAATTTTAACATAATATAAAATGTCAATAGAAAATTATGAAAAAGAGAGTGATTCTTAGACGATTCTTTTCAACAAAACAAACAACTTAGAATAACATTTTCATATTACCTACCTACTCATAAAATTTTTGAAATTTAGGAGAGAGGAGTACTTGGCACCTCTAGATTGTAATCAGAACCCTTATAATGTATTCCCAATATGGTGATAMTCAAAACTATTATTTTATGTTGATTAATTTATAATATATACATATATATATGTAGTGGAAAGCCATAACTATATATGACTTTGTTTGTTTTGTGTGATACTTAACCATTATTTATCAATGAATAAAATGAAAAAATACAAATTTGTCAACATTGTTTTTAATCGGGGACTATAATACAATATTGTTTATATAATACAGTTAACTTGATCAATTCATTTTCCAGCAATCTAACTACACAATTAGATTAATAATTGTATGAGTAAAGCTTTACCATGATGATATTTAAGAATTCAATACCACAAAATAAAATTAATAGAATATTGCTGAAAATATTGTTTCTCAAAAATAATATTGTTTGGAATTTGATGTTATTCTACACTGTCACTCGTAGTCATAATGACTATTATATAATCGCATATCGGAATGCAATAAACAATGGTTAGTGAGTTTCAAAAAATTATCAGACGCAAACACAATAACTTTTCACTGAAATCGGCGAAAGTTGTACAATCCTAAATATTTATCACTGTTTTTGTTGGTATAATAACCACATCAACATTGTTTTTATTTSTATGCATTTCGTATTGTGTATATCACCGTCGTTGCGAACGAGCGTGATATATATAATTTAAGTACTGCGTACTTATCTTCTAACATAATAATATACCTTTACGCTTGTGTGAATGGATAACGACAATACCTATCGTAGTTATTGTCAACAGCCTCAGGGCTGCAGGATAACATCGCAAACCATGTGCGAGTCCGATACAAGTACCATATTCGACTTTGCAAGGGACTGTATCATGTCGACTATTTAGGTGTTGGGGCCTTACCTAAACCAAAACGTTGGAATTTCACTTATGTTCAAAAGAGAAAATATTCATATTTTGTGGGMTCGATTTGATAGTACTAACTTATAAGGTTATAAATGTTAATTTCAAGTGACATATGGATTATGGGTATGATCTATTAAGAGTTACTCGGTATGACGAATTTATAAATAATCATAAAATCTGAGAAGACCCCTCGACGACCTACACAAAAACGTATATTWTGTCCAGCAATATTTATACAAAATATATTAAAATATGTAAATACTATGTACTTACTACTATAATATATTTATTGTTTTCAATTTAGATTTTCAACTTTAATATGGTTTCTGGTAAAAAAAGAAAGATGAAACTATATAGTTAGTATTTTTAATTAATTTTTTTTTTTTTGGAAGGGGTAAAAGTCAAAAATAAAAATGGTGAATCATTTTTTTTTTAATAATTAGGAAAAATATAATTTTTACGCTAAACCGACTTTGACTAATTTATTTTTTATTTGGTTGTAAACTTGTAAATTGAAAATATTATTTGTGGGGACTTGAAACGCATACTCATAAATTATTATTATTATTTTATTTTTTTTTTATTGGTTAAGCATCAACTACATAGGTTATTAGCTTACATGTCTTAATTTCTACATTAAATGATTATATGCTATCATAAATTATTATTAAACTATTAAACGTTATATTTTATATAATTATGTATATAAATTATTAGATTAATGTTATATTTTACATTCTATAAATGTCATTAAAATAATTATTTGTCGGGTAAAACAGCTTGAGAGTTTAATACAAAGTTCCTCATACATTTTTAGATAGTAGTTAAGACATTTTAAAGATTCATATTAATCATCATTTTGCTATGAGTATTCAAAGTTTACATTGTTACGAAATTCATCATAATATCCGCAAATTTAATGCAGTTAAAAAATTATAAAATGTGAAAACACCATAACATTGACTTTAATCTTTAAACACCTTATGTACAGCGAATCGTTACCCATTTATCCACTTTTTTAATATGAAAATTAAAAACTAATCATTTTATAACAAAAATATATACATTTTAGATGTTCAACATATCTCATCGTGGATGGTTATCGGTAGTGTGGTTCGAATATAACCCTTTTATCAGCTTGAGTGCGCTGTTCGCCATTAAATTATGTGGGGGCGATATTCAAAAACAATATAAGATTATTCATGCAATTCGACCTTACCTGATTAACCATACGATTTGCCTAATTGAAAAACCTTCAAAAACGAAAGGGTAAATCGTGGTAGGGTCGTCGTTGGTGCCAATGTATTTTGAGAACAAAGTTTAAAAACCCTTTGGTCGTAAGGAGATAAGGTAGTGGTAGCCTCGACGAACATATACAGCTAGTTTAAAGGGGGGGGGGGGATTGAGAGTGGGAAACACCTGAACTCGACCAGTAATGGATGATCGGCCGCTGGATTTGGGGAGGAGGCGGTCTCCCGATTGCT